AAGCACACAGTTACATAAAAGTAAATGTGTTTCAGCAGTCCATTAATGCCATTCTGTTAAATGTAGAAGATTTCTAAGCAAGTAAGAATGAATTTTTAGCATTATTGTCTTTTAGACTTGACTAAAGAGAAGCCAGGAAGCTTAATCTATCTGCTTTTAAACCAAATCTTGGCAAATTTATGAAAGGGATTATACGATATAATTAACACGTAGTAGCAGAGAATTGCGCTTTATGATCCAACAGAGGTAAGGCTTCCAGGCCTGTGTTCCTAGGCAACTACCCACTGATAGTTTAAAGGCTATTTCAGTACTAAGAGGCTAAAATATCTTGGATTATGTCACTGGGAATATGGTGAATTTTCACTTCACTTCTATTTTTTTCCTGGGTATCCTTGATATCATTTCATTTATTTTTAATGCTCATAGACATGACATTAGTAGCTATTTATGATTAGCCACGAAGACATAATGTCTGAAGCTATTTTCCATCATTTTAAGGAATGTGAATGTCAATTTTTTGCCGGCACGGTGTCCTGACTTCATAGTACAGATCTTCAGCTCCTGTAAAGTAATAAAGCTTTATTTGCAATAATTTACATCAGAAGATAAGGATTTGCCTAATGTGGTTAGAATGCTGGACTTTGCAAGAGAAATATGGAAATAAACTCAGAAAATCACTATTGCATTACTTCAAGTGAAATATCCTTTATTTTACAAAAGAACTATTTGAAATTATTAAAACCAACCTTTGGCTCCCTTGGCATAAGCACTGCTCAGTTATCTTAAGATTCTGCACTAGCCCAGGTGATAAAAGCCTCCCTGTAGAAGTCATGATTTTTTAAACAGCAATCATGGGCTTCATGAGCCCTGAGATTTCCGTATGTTCTGTAACCATGAATGAACATGTTAAAACCAGTTTAGTCAATGGGAGTTCTTGATAGGTGTGAATTTCTGACCTTCCAAAATGTCTTGCTGCTTGGAGGTTTAACTGAACACATTGGCATGTCTTTTCATTGTAGGATCACAGACCTTACTCAGGAGCCTACCTAGTCTGAGTCTGCAGTCCTTATGAGCCTTCAGGTGACTGTCAGTTCAGCTGGAGTTTTAAAAAGAATAAGTGCTTCAAACCAGACCTGTAGTTTGACTGCTAATTGCTATTCCTTTTCAGTGTAATTTTCTATTTTTCTTTTAAAGTAAAACTACTGTTTCTGAGTGTTTTCTATGTTCCTAAAGCAGGAAAATCTATGCACTATTGTATAGGATAATTTTTAATCTCTCACTAAACGTCTTCTTTACAGAACAAATGAATAAAGTTTTGTACTTCACTGGAGTGATAATTTTGGTGATCTGTGATAAAAATACCACATTTCAAGTTTTATACCGGTTTATCACACTAGCACCTTGATAAAGAATATTTGTAGCAAACAGTAACATCCTAGTTTAAGTAGCTCCTCAAACAGTTGAAATAAGAAACAATGCAAACCTGATAGTAGGTAATATCTAGTGGAAAATATGCTGCATTTCAGTGGTGATACATCAGAAAAAACATTAACATCATTAAATGAAACATTTGTGAGGGGAAAAAAATCAGTGAATTGGCAGTGAACTTCGTAAGTTTCTAACATGTAACTGGCTGTCTTATCTGCGTGGTCTTACTGGACTGGTCCATCTGTGAAGGGTCAACTACCACTACAAAAAGTTCAGTGTCAGATCTGTTTCTCTGTGTGTGTACTAAATCAGTGGCAGTCAGTGAATCTGTTATATTTCAAGATTCTATCTCAATGCAAAGGTAGGATTGAGTTTCTAGTTACTCACTGACTCACCCTGTTACTAATTTCCATATCATTTTGGATATTCAGCAAACCTATTAATTATTTTCTACTATTTTGCTTCAACAGGGACTTGGGATGTCCTTGTCACAACCAGTGATGCTTCTTCTAGTTCCATAAGTCCTAAAATGTCTCTAACTGTATGTGGTGAAAAAGGTACCTGTACCTCAGTCACGTTTCCCAAAGGATCTCTTAAAAAAAAGGAGATTTATGAAACTTCAATTCAATTAAATAAGAAGTTCAATACTATATGCAAAGTTCGCCTAGAAATTGAAGAAGCTGGAGAAGGAGAGACTTGGCATTGCCGTGAGGTAATAAATGAATAAATATAGATTAAGTACTTACTGTAAAATTCTCTTTTTTCATATTCTACGGTTATTACATCCAGTTTCTATTTGAAATTACATAATATTTAAGTTACAAAACTAAGCGGATCTGGTAACACTTGTGGTGTGCAAACTTCAGAAAGCCCCTAAAAAACTTATTAGAATAGTTTGGAATAACAAAATCTTGTAAACTAAGTGGATTTCTGGACACACAGATGCGTGGCAGACACAGATGTACCATTATCTGTAGCATATCCAGTCGTCTGTTTTCAGAACTGTAGCAACTGGCATGCACGACAGTGTTTACATAATTCCAAATTGGCTGTTGCATGTTGTGGGCCCAGTGATCCAAGGCAAATAATTAAGTGAGACACTAGAAATGTCTTTTGATGAAAATATCTGACATTTAAGTTGGCATGTGAAAAAGAGAAGTGAACAGCAAAAGTGACAATTTTTCTTCTGATGTCCAAGATGCTGAAGCGAAAATCTGACATCACATTGAAACTGCTGTGGCACTTTACTATACAAAAGAATATTTATCCTCTTATACTGGCAAAATGAAAAGAAGTCTAAGGGAAAGAATCTTCTTCTTTCAAACTGCAGCTACACTTTTCCTCTTAATATTTGTATTTTGTTCTCATTAAAAATTGGAGAAAAAATTAATTTTCATCTCTGATACATGGTATTAAATAGAGAGCTGAACCTCCTGACATTTAACTGATAAGCAGGTTGTTAATTTTGTCTCCCTAGCCAGATAAAATATTCATATAACAAATCTATTGATGAAATTAAGACTGCTTCTTGGAGATTGTAGGAGATAGATAGATTGAAAATTTGAGAACAGATACTTGGCACTTGCAATGACATCTATTAACCTGCTTTACTTCATTAGGTCATAGCAATAGCTCAACACTGAATTAGAAAAAAAATTATATAGGTAAAGAAAAGATCCACATTTACATTAGGTAAGATTAAAAAGAGAAGGAAATATAACCTTTCCTGCTCTGTGATATGTGCATATTCCACAAGTTTTAGGAAGACATTTCCCACGTTGTTCCATAGATTCCATAGCAGGACTGATTGAATCCTTGCATGAAGTATCTAGGTTGGGGATAATATCTATTATCAAAGACAAGTTAGCAGTCTATTTACACTGATGGTCTGAACCAGGATGGTCATTTCTATTCTATTTTATTTTGATTTTACAAGACCAAACTTCACTGAGATTTCCCCTTTCTATCATAAGCAGAAAAATTTGTTTCCTGATAGTTAGATTTAGCCACCTGGCTTAGTGTCATCCTTTATCACTTTATATACAGTAATTTGTAGGCATTCAAAATATTCAGTAATATAATCAATATACACATGATATATATGGTACAGATGACATACATGTCATAAAAACATACTTGATGTCTATTTTTCAGCTTTTCCCAGAAACATTTATTTTTTTTTTCTCCAGCTACTCTGAATGAGAAAACATGCGGCACTGAAAAATGTTATGGCATGCTGACATTTCTCAACAGCTGAAAGGGGAAGCTGAACACTTCTTTTTCACTCATATACTGGATGAATAGGCTACATAAAGGAACCTTTCTGAACCCTTCCAAAACATTATCCCCCTACTGCAATTTCTACAAGCAATAATGTTGAAAACATTTTAATTATTTTTAATTGGGAAAATCTGTATTCCATCTCTTTTAACAGACTGCTTTCAAAAAATATTTTAGAAAAATGTATTTCCTCTTCCACTGTATTATTGAGACTGCATGTTCTCTCTCATCTATGACCGGTAGTAAGTCTCTAGCTATAGTTTGTATTAGAGCCCAAGACACAGATACTGAAGTATTTCTTTTTGTTCTCTGTTTAGGTAAAGCTGCAACACAGAGAAAGTAAAAATACCCTAGAATTTCCCTTTTCTCGCAACTTTGCAGATGAGGAAGGATTAGCAGTGGCAGAGCTTCCAGTTCTCATAGCTGGCTTTGCTTTTCCAGCAGGTTTGTTGCAAATCAGAAACACTGGAAAAATTTGGTCAATGGTGAAGGCTAAGATTTTCGAATAGTCCAAAGGATTTAGCAGATGCATGCTATTTATTTTAACCAGTGATGCCTGGCTATATGCAGTCTACTCAACTGCTTTAAAAAAATCTCAGTTTGTGTATTTAGTTGTGCATTTGCGTTCCAAGTCTAATTGCTATCGGTTTGTGACACATTAAAGAGCAAGCATACAGCACTGAAAATGTTAAAAGGGTTTTGAACAGCACTCAGAGTTCAGGGTTTTTTTCGATATTATTTATTTCTCTCCCAGAAGAAGCAAAGGAAATCCAAAGGAAATCAGTCTCATAGTGTAATTTCAGATAAGAAAGAGATCCATGGCCCTTAACAGCAGAAACTTTAATGTTCCTAGAAATTCAGGCATTCTTCTCCTGTGACGTAGTGGTAAAATGTCTAAAAACTCCTCCATGTGAGTTGTCTTCATCATCTCAAGACTAGATTGTTTTAGTTTGCTCTGTGTACCATAAGAGAATTCATAACCAAGGTTAACAAAGGATGCAGAAGCTCTTGTCCTAAATGGATATTCTAACCACTTTCACTTTTTTCTAGAACAGCACAGACGTTTAAATCTTTAGGAACGCTCCTCCTGTTTCTGAGGAGCATCTAGCGTGAGAACAGATATTGTTTTCTCTACCTCCTTCCATAATCTTTCCATTTTCAATTGAATGTTTTTGGGATGTTGCTTCTTTCTTGCTTTCAGAGCCAGATCACCAGCATCTTATACATTTCTCTGGGAGTGCAAATGAGAACTTAACATAAACAGTCATTTAAGAAATGCCCAAATGAGGAATTGTAAGTTGTCAGAGAATACACAACCATTCCTGAAATTGCCTGCTGAAGCAAATAGCTGGACTAGTACAGTGTAGAGCAGCCAACCACTGTCTGGACCACGATCCAGAGGAAATACCAAAGTTGCCCCCTTTGTAGCTGAGCTTAGCTTCAGTTGAACTCTTTAAGGCTCAAAACAGAGCTGTGCTTTTTGAGTAATTTAGTGTTGTCCATACCTTAGGAGACATTTAATAGTAGTGTTATACATTTAAACACTACATATAAGTGTGTGGTAGAGTGTTATTTACATGCTTTTTGTAACAACTGCTGATATATTCATTATCTTCTTTCACTTTCGCTTTTTCCCATTGTTTCAGCCCCACTCACAAACTGTTTAGCTTGTTATTTCTAATTACAGTGGTTCTTAAATTTTAATTGCAGTGCTTCTATGTGCTTTTCTAAGCATTGTAATTTTATTTGCCATTTGATCACTTTGGGCAGGAATAAAAATGAAGATATAATAGTAATTTATTGAATAACGTATTTTGTTTACTAATTAAGCTTCATAACATTTTTTTTTTTTAACTGGTTAAGCTTCAGTGCATCTTTCATCTCTTTTTCCCAATAGTGAAAAACTATATTCTCCATATCACTACGGGAGCATCCCCTGGGTCAGGAACAGATGCAGATGTGTATGTCACGCTGCAAGGTCTTTTGGGAGATACAGGCAGAAGAAAATTAGCAAGAAAAGGAGATGATCATTTCACTAAAGGAAAGGTAAGCTTATCATTTCTGTATGATATTCTGCACTTCTCGAAGCCAGTCTAATTCATGTGGACTTAATGAAAGTATGATAGAGTCTCTGAAGTCTAGTTTGCAATGCCTCATATTTTTAAGTGCATGTGTATGTGCATATCTGTATCTTATGTAAAATATACTGATGCTTATGCAGCTTATGCTAAAAACGCAGATAAAGTAATTAAATGACAATACCAAGCACTTCCAGGTTCAATTTTGCCAGTATTGAAGGTTTGCAATTACATGCCAGTGGTTTTCCTGGCTATTTGCTGGCGATAGAGCAATGAAGAGACTCCATTTCTACTAATGCCTCATTGTTCCCTTGACAATCTTCAGGCTAAGGCTCCTTTCCCTGACTTCGGCCTTTTCACTGTTAGTGCGCCCCTGGGACTGGCTCTTGTTCCCTGCAGACAGTCAGGTACTACCCTCCATAGATGTCTTAGCTCTACCAAGAGAGTCGATCATGGTGCAGGGGAGAGACTCTCCCTGCCCATAGATGTAGACCAGTCAGAGGACAGCATGGCTGCCAGAGATGCGTTTGCCTGTAGCATGGTCAATACAAACAGAAATTTGAGGGAATTTAGCTATTAAAACTACTGCAGAAATGGGAGAAGATTTACAGCAAAAAGTATGTAGTCCCTGTTGGAAGTCGTGGTAGGGGAAGTGAAACTTTCGAATGAGAAGATGAAAGATGTTTTAAACATATAATAAACCATGTCTTTGTATTTTCTGCAGATCTTTATTTTAAAATAAATTTTAGGATTAAAATAATTAAAAAAAAGATTCTGAAACTAACTTTTGGTATAGAAAATTTCAGATGGGACAGAGTTTATCAAAATGAAAATAAGTGTCTCGTAACTGGAAGTGCTGAGCATATTTTACAAAAGACAGTGTTACCTGTCTTTCTTATAATGTGTGCTCTTATACCTTCTTGACATCTCAGTGAATACTATGGCTATGATATTCTAGCTCCTCCCCACATTTGGTTTAGAAATATCGTGCAGCAAACTATTTCCTTCTACTGGTGTCAGCCTCCCCAAAAAACTAGAGTTTCTCTAAGGGGGTCAGCTTGCAGATCAGCTTGTACTGATAACCAAAGCAGAGGCATGATATATGAGATTAGGAGGACCTCATCTCCTAACTACCCCCAGGACCATGAATTCAAGGGGAGTTGGAGGGGGTCATTACCTTGCTAAATTTGGCCCATTCGAAATTATTATTCATAAGAGAATGGAGAGGCTTTAAATACTTATTTTTGAAGGCGATAAATACTTGCAGATGAGTATACTCAATTTTGAAAAGACATAACTATCTTCCCTAATTTTGAAATTCAAATTGTGGTTTATTGATAAACTATATCTCAGTCACTGGATTTTTTGAGCTGCATTCCTTTTGCTCTCATGGAGTAAAATTAGTTTAATGTAAATGAAAATGCTTTTAAAGAAGTAACAGAAAAGCACAGAAAATTCTTTATTTGCTCCTTTTCCACTGAACGTAAAGTAAAGATATTTGGTTAATCAATGGAAAGTAAATTGACTAGGCAAGCAAGACTTCTGCCTTTGCAACAACATTTTGTTCAAGGCATATTTTGGAAACTTCCTCGTATTTTCTTTGCTTGATCTCTAAAAGGACTCTCAAGTGTAGAATGCCACTTTGTATACCAGCCCAATCACACATTGTGCTGAGCGCTCCTGCAGTCAGAGAATCTGGACTTGGTGGTTAGGGGGATTTTGGATTATAACAGACATGGAATTTGCATTCTGAATCTTCACAGTTGTTCTGACATTTTAGAATGTGCTTTTCCTTGCAATAATTTTCCCCTTGACTATACAGTAACAGCTAGTGAACCGGAACAGAGTTTCTGTGTAGAAATCATATCAAAATATGGTTTTAGTCCCACAGAATGTCTGGACTGCTGCAAACAACATCTTAGCAATGCAGAAATGCACAGAAATGTTTAAATATTCAGAGGACTTTGCAATGGATTGGAGATACATTCTTCTCATTTAGCAGGTCTTTTATTTACATGAGCTGGGTTACGTGATAGTAAAAGATTGAATTAGTTTTTTATATCTGAAAAGTGGCCTTTGTGTCTTTCAAAAGTCCTAACACCTGCAAAGCCGTTTAGAACTGGTAGATAAACTAGTGTGCCTGGAATTATCACGTCACCAGTCAGCTCCGCATAGCTTACACTGTGCCGGAGGAAGTATCACCATCACCAAGAGAGCCAGGTTTCTGGTGATCTCTCAGATAAATGTTGTGAGGACCAGTGCTGCAAGAACTGTGTTCTTTCAAATTGCTATGACACTGATGCTGTGTTTGATGTTCTCCTAAAAGCTATCACTTCTTTGTGCAATTTAGGTTTTTGAAATTCCTGATTCTATTTATTCATACATATGATTTATATGAATAAGTTTAATTCTGATAAAAGCTACCAACTACAAACATAGTCCTCAGCCAAGCATAGTCAATACATACATTTTGTAATAATCAGGGCCTAGTTATATAAAATCATCTCAGTCTTACAGTAAATCCATATTCCTTCCAGTGCTCACCATTTCGCAGTTAAATTCCTTCGTACCTTTATTATATGGTCTTTGATGGAGTTACTGTGTGTTCTGTCGTATGGCTATGAGTTAGCCATAAATTTCCTCTTTGAGAAAGCGGCTTTTTTCAGATCAATTTCATAAAAAATGGTAAACTACAATGGACATGTTATGAGTAAATTTGAAGTATTTTAATCTCTGTATGATGAAAATGGCTGGTATTTTAAGTACCCTAAATTTTGATGCAGTAAAATCTCTGAGAATTTTTACTTCATTCTATTAGTTGTTGGAAAGAGAAATTCTTATCTAGCCCTATATTTAGACATCAACTGCTCAGGTGGTACCATGGTAACTGCAGCACATAAAAAAAATTGTCAGTAAGAGGTGACTGTTGGTGTTCAATTTCGGTACTCGCTTACACAGTAAGCATTGGTAATTTTAAAGATTACATCAGAAAAAAAACATATGTGACAGAATACACTAAAAATGGCCAGAATGTAGGACAGTGTGCTGTGACCACTATTAAGAAGTCACTATTTGTCTGCAGTGCCCATATCACATTGCATCTAGGACACTACTGTTCTGTTACTGCTGATAAAACTCTCTCTTGTGGCAAGCACATCTGACATAATGATTAAATAATTGCAAAATGCTATTGACCCAGATGTATTAATCACAGTGATAGACTGCTTGGCCAAGATATTGTAGAGCAGAAATGAACAGTAAAATGGCCTGGTCATCCGGCAGAAGGATTATTCAAATGAAAGCTAGGAAAATATGGAATGCCAACACAGGGAAGGAAAGACTGGTGGAGGTTGTCAGAAACTATGAGGAGAAAAGCAGAAAGAAATAATGCAATTAAAGGTTTATATAACCCTGTAAGATGGCAGAAAATTACTAAGCCCTGTATGGTTTTCAGTGATACCTCTGGGGTGGTATTTCACAGCAACTAATAGATTTATAGGATGTAAACCTAGAACGTACCACTGAAATCACCTAGTTTGACTTCCTTCATAACACAGGCCATCAGATTAGAGCTATGTGAAAAACTAATTTTGGTTTCCCGACATATTTTTCCAGGCAAGAAAAAATATAAAACTTTATGGCCAAGAATTAAAAAGTGGACACAATGAATTAGCTCTAAAATGAATTACTTGGGGAATTACTCTCTTTTCGTTTACAGCTCAAAAATAAATTAAAGAAATCAAATTTGTAAAGATGAAGTTCACGTCACTTAGCTTTAGCTGTTTATAATGTATGTATCTTTTCTAACATGATAGTTTGAGTTTCTTCTGCAACAGTGGAGTGAAAAGGATGCTTCCACGAGGTGATTACCTTCTCTACTTTAGACTTTTATCTTAAGAGGGAATGAATTATCCTCAGGGAGTGCCTACTGCTTTCTCAGGAACCCTGCTTTCCAGGGAACTTAACCGACTATCTTACAACAGATTTTATTTTACACAGGCAAAGTTAGATGGGTGAATTCTATGCCAGATTTATTTCATTGTTTTAAAATAAGGATAAATTTAAAATAAAATATAGCTGATTTTATTACCTTAATTCATCATGAATTCAAAAGTACATATGATCAATCTAAGTCTGCATTTTTCAGCAAATAAAACATTCAATAGTTTTTCCCCAATGCAACAGCAACTGAATTAATTTTAGTTCAAGTCCAAAAGCTTTGGCTGAGTTAAAGCAAATATTCAAAAAAAACCCCCACCATCTAATCCAGATTTAATAGCTTCCAGTGAAGAAGGGCCTATCTACTTGGAAAGTTCTTCCAAAGCATAAATATCATATTTTAAATGCTCACACTATTTCTATCTAAATTTGTCGAGCTTTAACTTCTAGGCACTGGATTTTGTTACACTTTTGACTGTCAGACTGATCATTCTTTCGCACCAGTTTTCTGCTTCCTTTGAAGGTATTTATGACAATAATCAAATCACAATGCTTGTCTTTGACAAGTTAAATAGATCAGGCTGCTTGACTCACTGTAAGGCAGGGTTTCCAGTGATTTATTCACTCTCACAAATCTTTTCAGCACACTCTTCAATTTAGCACCCTACTTCTTCAAGTGTCATAACCAGAGATTGTTTTTGCATCATGTGTAAAATCTTGTTTTCCTCCAGTCACCTCGTGCAAACATTAAATGGCACAGGCTTATGAACTAGCCTCACTGCAGCACACCTGCCTGAGAATGTTCTCCCTTTACTGCTGCTTTGGCAGACTGACTGGTTAGCCGTTTCACTGTGCTGTTCAGTCAGACAACTTGAGCCCACCTGAGAGTCACCTGAATTTTGGATTCTGGTCTCTTAATCAAAGTGTTATGCAATCAAATGGGTTACTGAAATTGAAGTAAATAAATAACATCGATCCTATTTTATTTACCGATCAAAGCAGACCTCCAACTTAAACTATTGTTATTAC